GTCCCCTGGGGGGGGAGGATACGGCTATACGTAGGCTACAAATCATCACACCTGTGTTTGACAAAGCATAGCATTGGTTAATAGTCCATTCCCAAATTACCTTTAGCCTCTTTTTCAAAACGAGTCCTGGTGCTCATCCTTTCAATAATTAATTATATGTCTTCATTTACACGCAAACTAAACTCATTTTAATACGAATGGATGAGGACAATCCCTCGTTTTGAAAAAGAAGGCAAAGGTAATTTGAAAATGGCCTATTGTTCTTCTTTTGATTTTGGTTTTACGAGACTGAAGAGCATCTATATTGAAATAATCATATACTGATCTGAGTGATAACTGAGACTTCTTTTCTTTGGTCCTTAATTCTGACGAACGCTTCTGTCATTTTAGAGTTCACTAATGAAACGAGCAGAATTTGAATTATAATGTATCATATGTTAAACGTTACCATGAGGACAACTGGGGCCATCCGAGTTTTCTCGACTTCCTGTAGGGAACGGAACAGAGTAAACAAATCAATCAATTCAGTATCAACGAGTGTGAAACATTGCAGCTTAATATCTCTAGCCTTCATGAGATTCGAACAAGTCTACGAAAATTGCCGTACTGAGTACGTACTGAAAAATGCCTCTGGGTTCGGCATTGTGATAAAATCACAATACACACGGAATACATCATGGCGTACCTTGCTCGATGGCGTCATATCCTGATATATCAATCTTCTGAAGAGCGGTGTGGTAAGTTCGGGAGAGCTCAAACAAAACTATGTTCAGGTGCTCTGTAAGTATATCGAAATAATAATTTTATTTGGTTATTTAAAACCAATTAATAAACCTCATATAAATAGGATAAGTACTTGTAGCTATTGTTAAGTTTGCTTGCTTGTTTCCGCTTTTGCTGTTGCGTTTTCTTCAGCTGCAGTTGCAAATTTTCTTTAAGCGTTTTTTTTTTTTAACTGTTTATTTGTTCACGTGCAAAATGCCAAAGGGAAGAATCTCTACTAGCTTGGTGATAGACAAATTTACTTTTCACGTACATAAATAAAACATACATGTAAAATTGAGGTTCAAACCACTTTTTTAATGAGAAAAACAAAGAAACAAACAAAAGTCATTCTGTGCCATTAATAGCTACAAGTGAAATCACAAAGGGGTCCTGTTACCTCTTAAAGCCGCTTTGAAGACTTGCCGATACTGCATGATATTATCGAATGTCACGGGGACAGATACATGTCGAGTTGGCGTGACACTACCATTACAATGCTCCGCTGACGGAAAAGACAATTCACCGGCCATGTTGCACTGTTTCAAGAGATGATAATGTACAATTACCTTTGGGAACTATCTATAACAATAATAACAACAGTAACGAAAACATTGACCCGCCCTCTCTTTGATGATCAGCATACTCTAATGCTTATTCATGCTCTAACTTGCTTATTGCCTGCAAAGGACGAATCCCTTCAAATATTTCTTCAATGTCATTGGGTTCTATTTAACTCACCTCTCCAGATGAACGGTCAGCAATAAAAACTGGTAAAGTAGGAGGTCTGAATCCTTCCCTAGTCTGTCTTGGTGGTGTTCTTGCCTGAGACGACAAAGAAGATCCTGACCCCACCCTCCTTAAACCTATACGTCGACAAGAACCAAGTACTGCAGAATGCGTTGTATCTCGTCTTTTTTCGGTAAAATTTTCTGCGTTCATATCTTCAGGTTGGTCCCTTCCCCGCTGGTGTGGTCCACGCCCACGTAAACCACCTGGTTTAGCCGTTTGGCGACAAACTTCAAGGGGTTCCGTTAAATTTGGCTCATCCGTTCTTGAAAAAGCCGTTCGCGGCGGATCGTGACTGCTAGGCGGCATGGTAACTAATGGACGTTTTTGTCTTGGCTGCAAAGGGAAAACAAACACCGTCAAGAAACGTGACATTCTTTGCTGTTAAGTTAAAGCATGACTCGATCTTAATGATTGTCCGGCAACATAAGGCATAACGTTTTCCTTAGGAAGAAATCATCGGGGCATACCACTATTAGCGATGAACAAAGAAAAAGAATCTCGGCAACTCGTGTCTTGTAAAATAGCTTTTCGCGCATTGTTGCGACATGGGTAAAAATGTCTGTTTATTAGCAAAGTGGCCCATCACGCCAGCGCCTATCTCCGGTTTCCGTAGCATGAAGCGACTAGGAGTATTTTTACTTCCCCCTTGATGGGAGGCTAGTCTATCGCGGGGATTACCCTCCTGCATTAAATTCGCCGGTACCCATTTAAACACCTGGGTGAAGAGAGGCACTGTGAGAGTAAAGTGTCTCGCCTAAGAACACAACACAGTGTCCCCGGCCAGAGCTAGAGCCAGGACCACTCGATCCGGAGTCGAACGTACTGACCATGAGGCCACAGCGCTTGCCTATGTAATATAGAGCTGACAGGATTTCACTACATGTGCAACGCGATCGCAAGCACTGACAATCAATGAGCAAGATAAAGTCACATGACAATAGTCCCTTTTAAAGTTGTGGGCTTGGTGGCCAAGCCTTTGAACGGGAGTGAGGCTAAGGGTGACCGTGTTGTGATAGAGACTTGTGTCTAGTTAGCATGATAACAAAGAAATTTGCATTTGAAAAGCAGCAACATCTCTATCATAACAAGGTCACCCTTAGCCTCACTCCTGTTCAAAGGCTTGGCCACCAAGCCCACAACTGTAAAAAGGACTATTGTAAGGTTGTAGAGTCCTCTGCTTCCTGCACGACGCTTCGGTAGGATTCGCGCGATCCTCCATCTATGCACTGATCTGTCGCGTTATTATTAGTTTCATTATTGTTCGAGTATCGTATTCGTCCTATTGCCAGAAGAGAACACTGTTTTCAAAACGTTTGATCCGGTTCAAGAGTGCGAAAGCATTCAATTTTTTTTACAATTTTGAAAATGAGTAAGCTCTAGAAAACTCGAACTTGCTGAAAGAGAATCCCTACCAGTTGAGGAACA